ACCCCATATACCTTGTGTGAGAACCCATATGCCTTGGCGGCGCAGCGTGGTGCTGGAAGAAGCGCTGCAGCACCGGCCTGGTTTTAGGTTTTAGCGTTTAGAGGCTTAGACTTTAGGGTTTGGGGTTTGCATCAGTGGACGCGCGTGTGGTGTGCGCCTTCTTTTTCGATATAGGGGCGCCCACCTTATCGCGCGCTTGCGCAGCTTGGTAGTCCCACCCCAGCCACCCAAACTATGTTCATTTAGGGTTTAGGGTTCCTACCACCCAAACCTCCCTAGCAAGGGAGGCTTCCTTGTTCCCCCTCAGGTCTGCTGTTCACTCCTCGAGCACTCTCAAGTTTCGGACTTTCAGAAAAAGGGATTGAACATCGCATAGGGGTAGCGGAGGCCTTGGCCGGCCTCCACACGTGAATCTCTTGGATTGGTGTACAGGATTGCAAGTACAAACACTTAAACCTTGCTGGGGGCCCTCAGAGTTGGGCCCGAAGGCCTGGACAGCCTTGAAACTTGGGAAACCTCAAACCCTGACAGAGCTCTCTGAAAGCCGGCCCTCTGAGCCGGGATTGGAGGTTCTGGGACGGGAAGCATGCTGGAAGGCAGTTGGGAAGCCCCTAAAGGCTGGGGGCCCCTGGAGTAAAGCCTGGGAGCCCCACACATGGATTTTTTGGCTTGGTGATGATAAGAACCGTTGAATTTGCATGGATGAGGATATGATCTCTCCGTGCTACGCTCTTATGCTAGTCGTGTGCAGCCCTGTGCTGCTCCTTATACCCACTTATATACCTGTGACCCTTAACCCAGACTCAGGCTGGGCCACTCCGTAATAATAACGAGGATATGATCCACGGTGCTTTTGTGCTGGTGCATTTCAACTCATGTTGCAAACCTTCTTTGTGCCATACCCAGGTAGCACTAGTGACTAGTGTTTCGTAACCTGAGTTACGTTCAGTGCAAGGCCTGTTGAGAGACCCTTAACAGTGGACCTCGGGGTCCGTCTTATAATTCAGTATAGTCCCTAGTATAGCCTCTAAAAAAAACCCATGTCCATTAAATTGTGTGAAAATGTTGAGCGTAGCTCATATACCTGCCACCTAGACTTTCCTCAAATCCTACACATGATGTAGCCCTTAACCTCATATATCCTTTCACCCCCTTTACAAGGGACTTGAGGTACCCCTCTCTCACCTTGCATATCCCTTTCCCGCTTTTAAAAGGATTTAAGGAACTCCCCACGGCTAAGGGTCTAGGGTCTAAACTCCTAGTACCCTCCTTAATAAGCGCTATAATACTCCCCCTATATAATCCCTATATAAGCCCCCTTTAAGGAGTTTGAGATTTTAACAAGCTCTTACAACCTGGTGCCGCGAGGGCTGGCGTGCGAGCACGGGAGCTCGAAGATGCCAAGCGAGAACTGCAAGCCAGGGGTGAGGCGTGAAAGCACTGAACCTGGGTTTAGGTTTTAGGGTTTAGGATTTAGGGTCTAGGGTTTAGGGTTTGTTGGGGATTGGAGGTCGGAAGCCAAATCTGCTAACCCATTAATGGCCTCAAACTAAACTTGAGGTATTGTTGTTTTGCAAGATTGCTTAAGGAGGTGTCTCCAATATATTCCCTTATCCCCTATAAAACTCCTATAATCCCTGTAGTTTCCATTTTCTTTTCCATTATCCCAATATCACCCCAATATATTCCCTTATTCCCAGGAAGTTTAGTCACCCTCTAGCCTAAGCCCTTGGCTATTGTTGGTGTCTTTGTTGGGGATTGGTTTCGAGGTGGGTGTACTTGGAAGATAGGGGACTGGACCGCTGTTCGTAGCTGTCTAGGGTTTAGGGTTTTAGGGTTTAGGGATTTAGGCTTTTGGGTTTAGGGTTTAGGATTTAGGGTTTAGGGTTTTAAGGATTCAGGGCTTAGGGATGTAGGGATTAAGGGTTTAGGGAATTAGGTTTTAGGGGCCACCGGAGAGATTGACGGCTGCCTCAGGTGCGATTGTTTTGTTCACAGGTTCCTGTACCAAACCTACCGTTGATTAAGCCCAGTAAATTCTAAGAAAATTTAGTTCAGGGGACAACCGGGATAGAAAAGGGGGTGGTAGGGGAACCCGGGGCCCCCATGTCTACAAACTACTATCCAAACATGATTGCTATTCATAACCGTTAGAATCATATTAGGGGCTTGAATGGGCTTTAAGTCAGGTTATATCTAAACCCTAAACCCTAAACCCTAACCCTAAACCCTACACCCTAAACCCTAAACCCTAAACCCTAACCCTAAACCCTAAACCCTAAATCCTAAATCCTATAACTTATAAGTAGAGGTAGCTGAGCTTGGGGATCATACCTCTAAGCCCTCGCGTCACGCTCGTGGTTCTAGGCCGTAAACTTCAAGGCCCTGAAGCCTACACCCTATAATATGCAACCTTGAAGATCAGTCCCCCTGCACCCTAGCCCCTGCGGTCTGGGGCTTTAAAAAGTTCCACCCCCAAAAGACCTCCTAATACCAGCCTTTTTTGGGTCATTTTGGGCGTTAAAATCCTAATCCGCTACACGGCCCAGAACACCAAAACCAAATCCCTAAACCCCAGCCCCCAAAACCCAGAACACTGATCCTAAATCAAAAACCGGAAGCCCAAGCCCCCCGAAACCCCTCAACCCCAAACCTAAAGCCCCAGCTTCCAAAGTTCATTTGTAGCGAGGCCATTGACATGGAGGCCATTGTCACGTTCGAAGCTTGGGAGGCCGAGAAGGTTTGAGTAGTTGGCAACTGATTGAATGTGTTTATATGGTTTAGGGACGATGTAGAGATGAGATAGGGATACAGAGGGCTGAATGACAGAGTAGCGGAAAACGAATGGAAGATTGACATGAAAACAGAGGCTACGTGTACCTTGAATAGGGATACGATTGTCGCCAGTAGAGAGTGAGATTCTTTCTTTTTTTCAAGCATGTAACCTTGCTTGGTTCAACCACAAAAAGTAAAGTGAGCCCGAAAGAGCAGAGGGTTTCAACGGCATCCCCTTTGAGAATTCGATACGGGTTATTTGGAGAAACGCCCACAAAGCGTGATCACACCTTCGGGTTCAGGGTTTTCGTGGTTAGGGTTCTGGGTCCGAAATTCAGGGTCAGGGCTTTAAGTCTCAGCAGTCAATCCCGCAGCGGAGGGATTGAACACGACTTTCTTGCCAGTATTCATACGCAGAACTTGATGTTTTTTTTGCTTGTTTGTTCATTTCTGACACGATCTCCAGGGTTTCTTTTTGGGCCCTAAGCACTAATTCCCAATCCGCCTGAAGCCGGGGCTAAGCGGGCTTCCAGTGCTTCCTGCAAGTGTCTCCAAAATTTTTGTTTATAATCAGGCTCAGGATCGTGAGTTCCGAGTCTAATATGTAGGCACCCGTCTCGATATGAATGAAACCCTGAACCCGAATCCCTGAACCCCTAAACACCCAACTGAGCCGCATGCAGAAGGACTTGTTCCACCACGTTGGGATTTTAGGTTGTAATCCACTCCCCCCAGTATGAAGAACATCCTACCCTCGCCCCCTAATACCAGATATTCCCAACTTTTTAAAATATACCACGACGGGGAGTATTTCATATTAGGGGAGGGTGGGGGGGTTTAATCTTAGGGGGAGGGATTACACTTGTGCCGGGGCTGGCCTTGATCCAAGAATTGAATGCCTAGACCCAAGTGACACCCACAATGGAAAAGAACATGGAAACTACAGGGGTTTCTATGGGGGTAGCATATGGAAAAGAAAATGGAGACTACTATTCAGGGTTTAGGGTTTCTGGTTTAGGGCTGCACCCGCAAGCTGTTACGACCAAAGGGGACATAGTCAAAGGCAGCTCAAAAGCGTGTCTGAACACGAGCCTTCCCTAGGCATTAAGTCTAGAAAACATTGTCAATGACCCAGTGGAATCTTGATGTTCATGTGTTTTTTTGAGATCTCCAATCTTTGAGCAACAAGCCCATGACCTCAGACGTGCATAATCTTTGCCCCAAATACCGGCGCATCCCGTTTCCAATGTAGTGCACTCAGGGGACATTGGCTTTTATTGTTAAGGAATGTGAACCTTAAAGCCTAAAGCCTAAACCCGAAACAGGCATACTTCACAGCAATCTCCGTGGGGATTATGCCGCCTGCCCGCGCTGAGAATTAGGGATGGGATGAGGGTTCAGCATCTATGGAATTGACTCTATGTTTCGGGATGGAGCATTCGGGATTGTCTAGAGCGGAAGAGCATGAGGATTCAGGATTGGGATTTGTAGTTTCGGGATGGGGGTTTTGGGGGCTTGCAGATTCGGGGAATTATCCAGGAGTGCATAGTTTGGAGATTGAAGATGAGCAGTGTGGATCGACACAGGAATTCTGACAGTTGCGCCGTTTGATGGGTTTGAGGGCTCAGGGCTGACTGTGCTCCTTACACCCCAAACACCAAATCTCTATTCCAAAAAAGCTTGACCACCTCGATCTGCAAGTCATACTCCCAACGCCTCACATCCTATCTTCTTGACCCACACAAAATTTCA